GTACAATTCAATCATCTCTTTACTACATCCACAGAGTTTGCAACCATTCTCGTGGTCGATTTTAGAACATTTTCATCACTCCAGAAAGAAGCCCCAAATCCCTTTAGCTATCCCTTCTCTAGTCCCCATTCTCACCAGCACAAAGCAACGATGCTCCACTTTCTGTCCCTGCGGATCGGCCTGCGTTGGACACTTCACGCAGACGGACTCACGCAATAGGTGGCCTTTCGTATCTGGCTTCTGTTCACTTAGCGGCGTGTTTCCAAAGCTCATCCATGTTGTGGCGTGTGTCAGAGCATGATTCCTGTCTGTGACTGAATACTATTCCCTTGCGTGGACAGGCCACGTTCTGTTCGTCCGTGCGTGCACCGAGGGACTCTCAGGTTGTTTCTCTCTATTGTGAATGATGCTCTGAGCGTTGCATTTAAGTTTTTGCGTGAACACCTGTTTTCAGTTCTGTGGGGCACATGCCTAGGGGTGGAATCTGAGCCAGGGTCTGAGCCGGGTCTGCCTGGCCGTTGTGTTTCTAACCAATAACTTCGGGCAAAGCAGAGCTCTGCTGCCCATGAATTGGCTCAGGTGAAAACCAGTTGGCTCCCAGATGATCTGGTTGGCCTCGGTTCTCCGATCGCCCCTCTCTTTCATTTCCTGCCACAACCTCTCAGCTGGATGTGACCAGCTACCCACTTCTGGCCAGAATCTGGCCATCAGGAAACTTTTGCCTTTTCCTTGGAGAGTTTATTCTTTTTTTTTTTTTTTTTTTTTGAGACAGAGTCTTGCTGTGTTGCCTGGGCTAGAGTGCCATGGCATCATCCTAGCTCACAGCAACCTCAAACTCCTGGGCTCAAGCAATCCTCCTGCCTCAGCCTCCTGAGTAGCTGGGACTACAGGCATGTGCCACCATGCCCGGCTAGTTTTTTCTATATATTTTTAGTTTTCCAATTAATTTCTTTCTATTTTTAGTAGAGACGGGGGTCTCACTCTTGCTCAGGCTGGTTTCGAACTCCTGAGCTCAAACAATCCGCCTGCCTCGGCCTCCCAGAGACCTAGGATTACAGGCGTGAGCCCCTGCGCCCGGCCTGAGAGTTTATTCTTGTCGTTGCAATTATCCAAAGCGCCACCAGATGGAGCACGCGCTCCCGGCTCCAGCTCCTCACCGCGGAGCTCTTGGCAGCGCCTGCCCCGACCCTGGAAGCCGTGGCCAGCGAAGGCATCACCCGTGGACCGGTCCCCACAGCATCACCAGGAGGCTGATTAGAAAAGCAGGACCTCAGGTGCCACCCCAGGCCCCCGAATGATAACCTGCGTTTAACCAGCAAGGTCCACAGGAGACACCTGTGCGCGGGAAGGTTGGAGCAGCTCTGGGCTCGGCAGCTGTTCACAGCCCTTGCTCTGCTTCCGCAGCAGCAGGGAAGACAGACACACAGCAGGGAAGACAGACACACGGGCTCATGGGTTCCCAGCTTCCTGGACACTAATGTTCCCTCCCCGCCAAGATCTTAGAACAAACACACGTGTTCACATCTGGCTGGATGAGTCTGACAATTGGCTTCTACATCCTCAGCGTATCTGAGACAGGTCGATCACACACATTATCTCTGAGATGTTATCACTTCGCCGGTTCTTTGCGGATCTGGAGGGACTGGAACTTTCTTGGACAAAATGTGGAGGGGATCCCACCCATTAGCTTCTTTCTCATAACAGGCTTTTCTATGGGAATTTTAAAAAATAACTTTTATGATTATATGAGCCATCCGTATTTATTATAATGAATTTGGAACATACATAAAAGCGTGAAAAAGAAAAGAAAGTTACTCTTATCCCACGCAGAAGACATAAGGCAGCGACAGCCAAAGGGGGTTCTTTTTGGGATGAAGAAAATGCTCCAAAATGGATGTGTTGAAGGCTATAAACTCTGTGAATACTAAAAAACGTTAAATTGTGCAGCTTAAATGGGTCAATGTTTTGCTATGTGAATGATATCTCAATAAAGCTGTTATTTAAAAAAAAAAAACCTTGTCTTCTACTGAAAGATGTTCTTCCCCCAACCAATCATCGACAGCAAAAACAGTCCCATGCAAACTTCAAACACACAATAGCAACAACACACACAAAACAACCAAAAGTAACCCTTTTCCCCGGAGGAGAGATTTAACAACATCTTCCATTCAAGGCCGGGGCTTTCCTTTGCAAAGCGGGGCCTCAGGTCGGTGGCCTTGGCGTCACCCTGGAAGTTATGAAAAAGGCATGTTTTGGAGCCCAGCTCAGTCCCACTGACTCGCACAGATGAGAGAAAGGTTTTCTGTTTAGGAATTACTCTGGGTCGGCCAAGGAACCAAGAAGGAAAAATAAAAAGAGACGGGCAAATGCATTGTCTTCCCTGTAGCCTAAAGGCCTAGCTCTCCAGCAGCTGTGCATTTCGGGTGAGGAGCAGGAACCCAAGGAAACAAGAAACACCCCACGAGATACTGAATGTCACACCATGATACGCCTTTTAATGACAATTGGCATCACAGTATAAATAAATATCTTCTTTCCGTCTACAGCATGTGCTACAAATATAGTTTTAAAAGGTCCAACCACGGGGAGGAGGCTTCGGGGACCCTTTCTTAGCTACTGGGTTTAGTCGTTAAAAAAATAAACACGATGAACACCCCTGGCATCTCTGCTGAGAGCGCGACGTGCCGTCGGCCGTCCTCCTCCCGCGGACGACGCACAGGGAGACCCGGGGCCGGGTGCGCACGAAGGGGTTCATGTCGCTCTGCCGTGGTCCTCCGGGCCACATACGTGTCGCTTTGGATGAATGCGTCTTTGCAATGTGCTGCTACACAATTATGCTGTTCAAAAACACAGTTGATTGACAATCTAACATAGATTTTTATCTTTAGAGTTTATGCTGGTGTACCCCACCCAACCGAGTAAGAAAAACAAAAACTCCCAGTGTTTTTTTTTAAATCTTTGTTCATTTTTTCAGCATCGGATATATGTTGGGATAGCCCCATCCCACTAGGTCGACTGTGATTATTCCTGGGCACTGTCTTTCTTTTGGATTTGACCCAACTTGGCCCCGTGCGGGAGGGAAGGAGTCACCGCGTGGTCGGGTGGTCCAGGCTGGGCGCCATCTGCCGGCCGCGTCCCCTTCGCACGGCCGTTAGCAATGTCCCATCGTGGTGGTGGCGGTAGGGCAGCGGTTCCCTCCTCCCACGAGAGGCTCTGAGTGCTCCCTCAACTGTGAAAACCCAGCAAACACCAGCCAGGCTGGAGGGCTACAGAAAAGCGTTAACGTTACTACTCAAAGACTGGATTAATGGACCTCGTTTATAGGAATCCGTCTAACAAACAGGAATATAATTTATGTTTCCTTTAAGAAAAATATACTCCTTGATCCTTAGAAATAAACATTAAATATAAATGAAATAGAAGTCTAGGACACAGAAAGGAAAAAAAAAAAGGAAACGTGGAAAAGAGAAGAAAAGATTATCAAGTAAAGATTTAAAAATCCTTCGTTCTATCCCAAGAGGCAGCCCCTTGCAGACAGTCAAAGCAAATATTGAACTACAATGGAAAATGTCTCTTAGGGGGCCCTATTTTTTTATTTTGCTCCTTTATTAGAAATATAAACAGATTATTATTTCTATCTCTTTTTATTTGTCTTTTTTTCATTTTTTTAAACAAATGATTTTTGGTAGCTCATCTGTATTATATGTTGACCTGTAAAATAGCCTTCCTAATTGTACCTTGTGCAGCTCGATATCTTGGTCTGCGCTCTCCGCAGCCCAGAATTTATTTCTCTGACTTTTGAAAATCCGCCACCGTGGACTGCTAAAAAAAAAAACAAAAAACGCTTGATACAAAAAAATGTCCCTTCCCGGCTTCAAAACTTCCCACTGCCACGGAGGCCCAGCTCTTCCTACTCAGCCCCGCGAGAAGTCCTGCCCCGCCTGGGCCAAATTCGGAGCCGAGATCTACTGTGGACCTGAAGGAAGGCAGGCGGGCCGAGCCCCTTGGCCAGGGGGGCCCACGCTCCGTCTGCCACTCTCTCCAGACGGCCCCCGCGTCCTTGGGGCGCCCACCGTCTCAACACACCCACTTGATGTCCTCGTCGTTGCCACCAAGGATGGAGTTGACGGTGGGGCAGCCGTCGTCCGGGGGGATGGTGGTGAAGGTGGTGAACTTCACCTTCTTCCTCTTGGACGTGGGCGAGTGCAGCGGCTCCTGCTTCTGTCCCCGGCCCTGCCGGCCCCCGGCCGCGGCCGACCTGAGCGCCTGGCTCTGCACGTGCTTCTGGGAGCCGCCGTTGAGGAGCAGGTGGCCGCTCTCCTCGTCGGCGCCGCGGTCGATGACGGTCGTGTGCTCGTGCGGGGGCGGCGGCGGGTCCCCCACGTTCTCCAGCAGCTCCGCCTCGTTGCCCAGCCACACCCAGTCGTGAGAGTGCGTCACGGTGGCCTGGCCTTCCGGGGGCACTTGCTTGTGCCTGTACTTGAGCGCAAAGGTGGCGCAGTTGATCAGGAAGACCAGGATGGCCAGGCAGAAGACGCCCAGCAGGGCGTACATGCCGATCTCCAGGTCGCTCAGGCCGCGGGGCGTCTGCACCGGGTCGCTCTCCCCCGGCGCCCCGCCGGCCCCGGGGAGGTCCACGTGGGCCGGGAAGTTGGTGAAGTCGATGGGGATGTTCTGCAGCCTGCCCCCGTCCGCCCGGCTGTTCTTCACCACTCTGGGGCCCAGCGGCGACCTGGCCGTGGAGGTGGCCCTCCCCAGCGCCCCCTCCTCACGCCCCAGGGAAGAGCTGCCGTAGAGGGGCCCATCCTGGCCCACGCGCTCCTGCTCCTGCCCCTGCCCCTTCTGCCGGCGCTCGCTGGCGTGGTTCTTGATCTCCTCTTCCTCGTCATCCCCGCCGGGGCCGGGGTCAGCGTCGTTCTGCCCGAACTTGACCCTGACGCTGCCAACGCCCACGGCCAGGACGCTCTTGCGCTTGGATTTCTGGCAGGCCTCTGCGATCGTCATGTCCACCCGGACCAGCGCGCCCTGGCCCTCGCCTTCCGCCACCACCACGGGCCACCTGGGGGAGCGGGCCTGGGGGACCGACACCACGGCCTCGTCCTGGGAGGTGGCCGCCAGGGAGAAGTCCCTGGTGTCGTAGATGTCCAGGGGTGTCACCGAGCCGTCGCTGAACTGCAGCCACGTGCTGACCACGGCTTCCTGCGGGGAGAGAGGCGGTTAGAAGACCAGCCTGGGGGGGTGTCTGTTCTCTAGAAACCCCCTTCTAGGAAAACACCCTGGGAAATGGGGAGCGGGACCCCGAATCCAGACCCAGCAGTCAATGGATGCAGAGAGGAAGCCTACAGCCGTACGTCAAGGTCAGAGAAATCACCTTAATTTAAACAGGAACAAAAGGAGAAACTTGCTGACAGCAGCAGGGCCATCCTCCCCAGGAACAAACCGACAACCAACAAACAGCAACACAGAACCCCCAGATAATGCCATCCGCTAGCACGTGGGACATCACTGCCGTGGGGTGACAGCCGACAGAGCACCTTCGACGGGACAGCAGGGTCAGCCGTAATGCGCAAAACACGCTTCTTTCCCTATGTCTCAGGCAACGTGGAAGAGAGGAGGGAAGCTTCCTCTTCAACGCCCTCGGCCCTGACCGTGTTTCCCGGCTCTCCCGCCCGCAGTACCCACGAGAGTTCCAAAGACCGGGCCACTAGTCAGTGTCTGTGACCACGTGACAAGGGCCTGTTGTGGAAGCCAGTCATTGTCATCGGTGATGCACAGACCCGCTAGCTGGTTCAGCGATATCTTGGTTAACAAAACCAGCTGCCCGCGGAGATGGCTGAGCTGGAAGCACCGCCCGCTGACTTCCCCACTGGGGTTGCTTTTATCCGCTAAACGGAGTCCTTGCACTGGAATCCGAGCTCAGGCGTAGCTTCGGGGGACCAACGAAGCCAGATGACGCTGGCTCAGCAATGCGGTTCCCACCCTGCCCCCCCACCCACAGCGGCGGATGGGTCCTGCGCCCCCGCAAGCCCCTTGCTAAGGCCTCAGCCTCAGGTGTGCGTCCCCCGGGACTCATCTCTTCATCCCTCTGTCCTGGTTTTCTGCAGAACACACGAGGCGTGGGGGGAGGGGTACGCCACGACTCACATTTGTGGGTGCAAAAATCTTTCAGATTTTGTATTTCGAAGTAGAAAACATCACAAACAAGGTGCCAGCCTTCCACACTCCCTGGGCTGAGGTCAAGCACCATCAGTAGTGTGCAAGCTCATGGTGGCTGACTTTTCCTCTTGAATTAATTTTTCTTCACAAACTCGAGATGGAGAAAGAAGTTAACATAAAACAAGCCCCGAATGGCAGACAATCGGAGCTAAACCCCTGCGCGCCCTCAGCATGCCAAAATCCATCTCTGTCCGCCCTGCTGAGGGATGGAGACCAAGTCCTTCCATCAGCTCCTTACGGAGAGGTTGGAACCTGGCGTTTTATCAGGAGAGGCCAACGCGTCTCCCCAAAGATGAGAAATTCCGAACGACTTACAATAACACATGCCCAGGAGTGATTTAGAGCTCTGTGCTTTCAAGAGTGATGTCTGCAAATCAGATGAACCACGTCCACAAATCCCCCAGAGTCAGTGCTGGGGCCGCCAGTTACTGTCAGCTGATGAAGACAGATGGGCCACGTCGGGGAGGGGACCGGTGGCCTCGCCCCATGCCAGGGAGGTCGCAATGCCAATCGTCCGCCCTAATTGATTACAAATTCTCGGCAAATAGCTCCATGTGTTCGGCTGTCTCCCCTGCACGCTCCTCCACTCCTCTTACTCTGCCCTTTATAGACTAGAAGACACCACGCCGATCTCCTGCCCTCAAGAGAGAAGAGAAGCCGGCGCTGGGGGCTGGACGTGGACCCGCAAGCGTCCCAGGACACTCTGGAACAAAGTCAGCTCGCAACTGTCTCCTGGTGGTAGGCATGATTTCCAGAATGGCCCACCAAAGATGCTCCACCCTAAACCCCAGCGTGACATTGCTCACGACTGTGTTATATGGCGCAGGTGGCCTTAAGGTAAGGGGCGAGGAGATCTTCCCGGACTATCTGGGTGGGTCCAATGATATCACTTGGACCCTTCAAAGCAGAGCGATTTCTCTAGCTGGTGGCAGGAGGGGAAGGCAGGGAGGCTGGAGGCGTGAGGACCCTGCACCGCTGCTGGGTTGAGGCCCGTGGGGAGGGTGGGGAGAGAGGAGGGAGGACTGCGGTGGCCTCAGGGAGCTAAGAGAAGCTCCCAGCCAGTGACCAGCAAAGAGCTGAGGGCCTCAATCACACAACTGCAAAGATCCGGCTTCTGCCAACACGTAAATAACTGCGGGCGCAGACTCTTCCCCAGAGCGTGCTGGCAGGAACCCAGCCAGCCCGAACTTTGATTTCGGCCGTGTGATGCCCTGAGCCACCCACAACGCCGTGAGCTGACAGGTGGGCACTGTCTTGAGCTGCTGAGTTGGTGGCAGGCGTTACGCAGCAGTAGGTAGCGGCTACACCTCTGTGCGCCGTGTGTCACTGCTCCGGTTCATCGCAGACCCTCGGTCTGTGTGACCCGGAAGCTCTGTGGGTAAGATGAGCGCTTTGTCTGCAATGACGCAGCCTCCGTCGTGGACAGCGGTTCTGCCAGCCTGCCCCGCTTCCTGCCTCCTCCCTCCCCTTCTGCTGCCTCCGGCACAGACGCCGGCTCTGCTCCCGCCCAACCTCTGCCGTCGGGACCCCTACCTGCTTGGGGGCCCGCAGCACCTCCTCCGCTGTGGCCACAGCTGTGATGGCCTTGCTGTTCTCCACGTTGGGGTGCAGGGTGACGGACAGCCCAGCCACGAGCTGGATGGCCAAGTCCGTCACCGACACTTTGTCGTCTAGCACGGTTACCGTCTTCTCTGCCAGGATGGAGTCGGACAGCGGGGACAGCACCTGTGGGATTGGTAAGGACACAAGGAAAAGCCATCACACTTGTTTCTAGATGTTAGACCTTTTCCCAGCAATATTTCATTTAGATGAGCTGCCCTTGTATAACGCACAACCTGGTTAACTGTCCATGGTGATCTCGTTGACCAGACTCATGAAGAGCTGCACACGAGCTGACTTTGTGCAGCTTGCATCGAATTCTAAGTGGACTATGGAATGAACCGGGAGAACTGAATTATAAATGGTCCACTGCTGGCGTTGCCAGCACAGGCATCCTCTGCTGAAACAGCGCTTTCCGCCTCATCTCGTAAGCCCCATGTTGGGCTTGAGATGTCCGGGCAGAATGACAGAAATGTACCAGTCCTTTCACGATGACATTCCACAGAGGTGGAGTCAGTTGGGCGGGAACCGAGGGGTGGAGGAAAAGGCCGCGCGTGCCCCGTCCATCACCTGTCCCCCAATCCTCCCATTCCGTACGTTTCCTGAAGCGAGAGAGGGGAGTGGGATTGCGAAGAGAGTTTGTTGGGTAAATAAATGGTAGGACGAGATGGTGACAGAGGGGAAGGACGAAGGAGAGGAAGAGTCCGTGCTCCTTCACCTGCCGCTGGGAGAGCCGCGCAGAGGAGAGGAAGGCTGCGCTAAGGGGGCGGAGCAGGGTGCGTCCAGAGAGTGGCTGCTGAGCTGGAGAATGGGAGGTAGGACGGGCAGCGTCGGGGCGCGGTGGGGATGGAGGCTGTGGCGGTGGGGAGCGGCGGCATAGGGGGCGCTCAGGGTGTGCAGCCACCTTCTCAGCTCTTTTTTTTTTTCCTTTTTTTTGAGACAGAGTCTTGCTCTGTTGCCAGGCTAGAGCGCCGTGGCGTCAGTCTAGCTCACAGCAACCTCAAACTCCTGGGCTCAAGCGATCCTCCTGCCTCAGCCTCCCAAGTAGCTGGGACTACAGGCGTGTACCACCACACCCAGCTAATTTTTCTGTTTTTAGTAGAGATGGGGTCTCGCTCTTGCTCAGGCTGCTCTCGAACTCCTGAGCTCGAGCAATCCTCCCGCCTC